GGGTTTCTCCATGTTGGTCAGGCTGGTCTTGAACTCCTGACCTCAGGTGATCCACCTGAGTCAGCCTCCCAAAGTGCTGGGATTACAGGCGTGAGCCACTGTGCCTGGCCAATTTTGTATTTTTAGTAGACATGGGTTTTTGCCACGTTGACTAGGCTGGTCTCAAACTCCTGACCTCAGGTGATCCACCCATCTCAGCCTCCCAAAGTGTTGGGATTACAGGCGTGAGCCACCGCGCCCAGCCAATTTTTGTATTTTTAGTAGAGAGGTGGTTTCATAATGTTGGCCAGGCTGTTCTCGATCTCCTCACTTCAGGTGATCTGCCTGCCTCGGCCTCCACGTGAACCACTGCACCCAGCCAGGTACAGATATTTCTAGAGCAGGCTGGAGAGACTGGAGTTTGCTTTGTTTATAGAAATCTGTTCCGCCCCAATCATGAGAAGTTCATGATTGCAGACACTTGCCTGTGCCAATAATTTCAAAATCTAAAACTGGTGGGGTTTTTGCAAGTTTTGCAAAATATTTTGCAAATCTGGCTCTGAGTCCCTTTGAATGGTTTAGGCTGAGACAGTGGGACTGAGGTCCAAGACCTGTAATCACTCCCAGGACATGACTCCTTGAGCCCTCAAATGGTTCTTTAGGGTACAAACAGGAGACCAAGATATTCACTAAAGCAATGAGAATGTTCTAGTGTCTCTGAGTGTGGGCCCGAGCACTGTGATCAAACAAACTGCTTGGCCTATTAAAAACACTGAAAGCAACACATTTTTGTTTCGCAACATAAGAGAGGGCAGGTTGCCAAGTACTTGGATATAATGTGGAATCCATAAAAATCAATCCTGCGCTCTGTCACTTTCTTCATATTGGATTAACCCTATAGCATCAGAAATGCCACAAAAGAATTACATACTCTGTACTGGGAATTCTCCTTCTCGGCGACTTTTTGTAAAAATGACAAATCAGTTTTCAGTTTCAGTTTTCTCTTCTGTATGTAACTGGCCCATAGGTAGAAGGTGTGAGAAACCTCATTGAATTTTTCTACTGAAGAGGTACCTGCTGGAGACAAAAATTAAAGTTAAATTAACTAGAACAGAAAATGCCTAAGGGCTATTTTCTTCCCTTAAAGTGAAATTTGACTTGTAATTAAAACACACTTTGTTTTGTAGGAAGAAGGACGTTAGGGGATACTTTTCTTTTTTTTTTGAGACGGAGTCTTGCTCTGGTTCGAGTGCAGTGGTGGGATTTCAGCTCACTGCATCCTCCGCTTCCTGGGTTCAAGCGATTCTCTTGCCTCAGCCTCCCGAATGGTTGGGACTACAGGCATGAGCCACCACTCTCGGCTTATTTTTGTATTTTTAGTAGAGATGGGTTTTCACCATAATGGTCAGGCTGGTCTTGAACTCCTGACCTCCTGATCCACCTGCCTCAGCCTCCCAAAGTACTGAGATTACAGGTGTGAGCCACTGCACCCAGCCACTTTTTTAAATTTGGTTTTTAGTCAAAATCTTCATCACTCACTCTTTTTCCTATCCTCCCTATTTTTTTTTTTTTTTTTTTTTTTTTTTTTTT